CTTCTGTTAGGCAAATCTTATTTTCTCAAAGAAATGTGTTTTAAAGGGTATATGTTGTTGTTGGGTGCAGTTAAGTCATTTCTGACCCAGCGACCCCGAATAGGGTTTCCAAGGAGTGACTGGTAAATTTGAACTGCTGACCTTGTGGTTCAAACAGACCTTGAGATCAAGTGCTTATCCTATGGTTGTTGTTGTTGTTGTTGTTAAGTGCCATCGAGTCGGGTCCGACCCATAGCGACCCTGTACAGGGTTTCCGAGGGTGTAAATCTTTACGGGAGTAGAAAGCCTCATCTTTCTCCCGCGGAGCGGCTGGTAGTTTCGAACTGCTGACCCTAAGGTTCGCAGCCCGATTCGTAACCACTACGCTATGGTACTACACCAGAACTCTAATTCAAATGTTCCGGTGGCTGTAATTGCCAGTCTCTCTACCTTTTTCAGTCCTCTTGATTCTTTGATTTCCATTGCTAACTTTGAACTCAACTTCCTTTGGTCTGCTCAGTTAGGTACCAGTTTTTCTTATATGGTATCAAAGTCTTAAATTTTGGATATTTATCCCAAAGCCTGTGAGTTTAAACAAAATTATGATTATCTATTTTATACAGTTCTTTTCTTCACTTTAACATGTAGTGAATGCTTTCCTTGGCTAAAACTTTTTTTATAAATACCATTTAAAATAGTTATATAATCTGTTATTTGGCAGTACCACAAATAATTTAACATGTTGTGTATTGAAATATTTAGGTGTTGTTTGTTTAAATTTTTGTAAACAATGTTATGATTGGCAGTTGAATGAAATTTAGAAAGTGAAGTAACCTTTTGGCACAGTTAAAGCATAATGTGAGTAAATACTCAGCTTCTTGAAATTGTGGACTTTAGGCAAGATAGATTTTTTAGATGTAAGGTCTGATCATTTTTACGGTTTGTTTATAAAATGATTCTATTATAGACATTTCTCAAAAAGATTATGTGAAATAATATTTACAGATTTTTGAGTATATGTAATCCTGAATGCAGTATTTGAAAGTAAACATTAAGTGAATGAAGATAAGGAGGGTTGCTAGAATGACCAGGGTTTTTAAATAGTTTGATATAAGACATAGTGGAATGACTTAAGTACTGTGTTAGGAGAAGCAAGCAATTGTCACATGTTTAAAAATTGCCCTGCCTTCCTGGCACTTTTTCTTACCTTTTTGTGCCCCCTTACTATTTCATATTCATTCGTTCGCTTCCCATCCCCAGTCTCCTTTCTTCCACTTTTTAATTCTTTGCTGTGTCAAAAAGTATAGTGCAGTTAGGTGTGATGGTTATAACATTGAACTTGTGGTTTTGGGTTTTTTTTTTTTTTTTTCAAAAAACCTTTTATTGTTAACTGTGGAGTCTTATTGTGGCACTGTGGTTTTGCACTGGACTGCAAGGTATTGTTTGTTGTTATTTATGCCTAAACAGCATGTTGTTGTTGTTGCTGTTGTTATGTGCCATGGAGTCAGTTCCGACTCATAGCGATCCTGTACAGGGTTTCCGAGGTTGTAAATTTTACGGGAGCAGAAAGCCTCATCTTTCTCCCGCGGAACAGCTGGTAGTTTCGAACTGCGGATTTTGCAGTTCGCAGCAGTTCAAACAGAGCAGATCATCAGTTTTACATTGAACAAATCATACACTTTGCTTCATTACAATTATTGGAATTTCCTCCGGGTACCATCAGTTAACAGTATTTACGCAGGGAGGATATTTTATTTCCTTTAACTTTTGTATTCCTCCCTGTGTCCCCTCTACCTTCATCTTTCTTTTGCCAACTTCCCTCTTTTATATTGCTTGCCCTATCACCCATGTTAACATGTGTCTGCTCTCTAGCCCATAACTAATTCTCCCCCCACACTGTAGCCATCATAAAAATGGTTTTATTTAGCAAGAAAATATTTTGTTAACTTTTTACAAAAGTGGTCATAAACAGTAGTTGTCCTTCTGTAATTGACTAATTTCACATAATTAGGGATAAGTCTTAAATTTACTAACAGGATCCAAAGAACAAGATGCAATCAAAACAGTGTCTTATGAGGAGATTGCTTGGGCAAGTTACTAAGACATTAGTTGGCTCAGAAGGTGATGGAGACTGTTTTTGGAGACTTCAAAAGGGAAATCTTGATAGATCTTTTCAAATGACTCAGGATGATTATGAGGGCTTATTATGAAGCAGTTTTAAAAAATCTGAAACTGGCATTAGTGTGGAAAAGGTCAGGAAAATGTGGCTGAGCAATTTTTTTCCATAATAGCAATGCACCTGCGTATTATTTGAGGAAAGCAAGAGTTGCCTCCAAGAAACTCATTGGAAACCCTCACTCCATCCACCCTCCAGCCTTGATCTTGCCCTTTCAGACTTCTTTTTTGTACCTGAGACTCAAAGAACATTGACAAGGAACATGTTTTGAGACCCTTAAGTATTTTGACATGGTGTAAATTGAAACACAGAATTTTTCTTGGAACGGTTGTTGTTATTAAGTGTCCTCTAATCAGTTCCTACTCATAGTGACCTTATAGAGGGTTTCCGGGCAGAGTGGCTGGTGAGTTTGAATCATCAACCTTGAGGTTCAAGTTGACCTATTGGTCTATCTTGCTTATTTTATAACATCACACCAAAACTGCTTGGAGGGGTTATGTTGTTGTTGTTAAGTGTCATAGAATTGGTTCCGACCCATAGCGACCCTGTATAGGGTTTCCAAGGAGCAGCTGGTGAGCTTGAACACCAACTTTGCAGTTCAGATGGCTTTGCAGTCTGGTTCATTAACCCACAGTGCCACACTAGGACTCCTACGACAGGTTATAGAGATGGGAAAACACCCCTTTCAGAAGAGTGTAGACCTATGAGAGGATTGTCAAATAGTTACTTCTCTTTTGACCTTACTGTATCTCAGGAAGGGTTCTATGATTTGTAGCAATATTTTTTTTACTTATCCTTGTGTTCCTCTTAATGTTTGTGTCTGTCTTTTCCCAAGGCATGGGACTCTGTTTTGTTTTTCATTGTTGTCTTAGCATCTAATACATTATGTTGTTTGGTGTTAGGTGCCATCGAGTCGGTACTGACTCATAGCCATCCTGTGTACAACAGAACAAAACGCTGTCCGATCCTGGGCCAACCTCACAATTGTTGTCACGCTTGAGCCCATTGATGCTGCCACTTTTCCAATCCATCTCACTGGGTTCTTCCTCTTTTTCTCTGACCCTCCACCTTACCAAACATGATATCCTTCTCCAGTGACTGGTCCCGCCTGATAATATGTCCAAAGTATGAGAGATGAAGTTTGGCCATCCTGGCCTCCAAGGAGCACTCTGGCTGCATGCACTTCTTCCAACACAGATCTGTTGGTTCTTTTGGCAACACATGACACTTTCAGTATTCTCCTCCAACACCATAACTCAAAAGGATCCATTCTTCTTTGGTCTCCCTTATTCACTGTCCAGCTTTCACATGCATATGAGGTTATTGAAAAAATACCATAGCTTGGGTCAGGCACCCTTTAGTCTTCAAGCTGACATCTTTGCTCTTCAACACTTTAAAGAGGTCTTGTGCAGCAGATTTGTCTAATGAAATACATCGTTTGATTTCTTGACTGCTGCTTCCATGAGTGTTGATAGTTGATCCAAGAAAAAGGAAGTCCTTGACACTTGCACTCTTTTCTACATTGATAAGAATGTTGTTTATTGGTCCAGTGGTGAGGATTTTTGTTTTCTTTACATTGAGATGCAGTCTGTACCGAAGGCTGTGCTCTTTGATCTTCATCTGTAAATATTTAGATACTTAATAAATGGTGAGTAAATCATTTATTTCTCCTGTCAGATTCATCAACTTTATCTGTCAATTGTTTATCACCTCTACTTATATTCCTACTATTGGGATCAGTGCATTTTAAACATAGACTAAAATCTTAAGAAAGGCTAATCAGTATGCGTACTATTAATAAAAGATCAGACTGTAATGTTCAAGTGTGTAAGGTTTTTCCCCATTTTTGTTTTTTTCCTATTAATGACTATTTAGGAGGTAGATGGCTTCTAATACTCAGTCAGTGATTTACATCTGTTAGGGTCAAGGTGTCTGAGATGCTTTTTGCCTTTACGTTACCAAGGCAAGTAGTTAGGTGCAGTAGAATTTAAATAGGACATAAAATACAATGTGATGTTTTCAAGCATAGGATAACTTGAATTAAGCAAACCCAAAACCCTGAACTTGTTGCCCATGAGTGGATTCTGACTCATGGCGACCAAAACAACTTGAACTTTCTTTAAATTTAATAAATAGATGACTATTTTAAGACAGGAAGGTGTGTAGAAAAGTAATAGTATAAATGAAAATATTTCACCAGTCTAAAAAACTATGACTAGACCTTCAGAAGATGTTGGAGCAGAGGGATGGGCAAATCTGGGAGAAATTATGATGTAAGTTAGTAACCTGGTATTAAATTTAAATCAAAGAGGGAGGAAGAGGTATTAAGGGGTCAAGAGATGTCTGATTGTAAGTTTCTAGGTCTGCTAATTGAGCAGGTTAGTGGTTTTCTTGAAGGTTATGGGAAACATAGTAGGGAAAGGATGGAAATGCAGGAGTCAGAATGGCTAAAATGACTACTGGTTGTTGTGTTAGATAAGGTTAGTCTAAACAGATGGGGGAAAACTCTTTATCTTCCCAGCCTTTCGTGAACTCTGAAGTTGATAACCGTAAGATTTATTTGTGGTGATCTGTCGAGTATCTATGAAAGTTCTAAAAATTATATATAGTTCATTAGATTTATTAGTGGCAGTGATATGAATTTGAAATTTTTAATAGTGAGAACACTTGGATCCCGTAATTCATATTTGGTGCTTTCTATTTAATTTTAATTGAATATTTGTTAATTTTAGTAAGTAATTCAACAACAAAATATTCTTTATATCTTTGCATCAAATCTTAAAGATATAATATCTTAAGCATTATGTTTGTTCTATTAAATAAACTAATAACCCTTCTTTTTAAGGTACAGCAAGGAAGAACTGGAAATTCAGAGAAAGAAACTGTACTTCCATCTACAAAAGCTGAGTTTACATCTCCTCCTTCTCTGTTCAAGACTGGACTCCCACCAAGCAGGTCAGTCAGTCAGTTCAAACACAGATTTAATGTAAGACGCTGGTATCTTTATATTGTATTAGTGCTATGTTAGGATAAATGGTCTGAATGTCTTACCAAAGACTGGAACAGTCTGTTTTTTGCTCAGAAGTAATTCTTTGTGTAAAACTTTTCTGTGGTTTATTTAAAAAAACAAACAACACACATATATCTACAACAAGTGAAGAATGGTTTATAGTTTGAATATATCTAAGGAGAAAAATTTTATATTCAGCAAATGTGAGGCTAAGTAATCCTGGTGCTTTTTATACTTACCGCTTACGAAGAGACTTACTGGATTTCTAGCTCTGTTGGTCTTATGATACCTTAGTGACGTATAGTAACGCAGATTGTAGGAAATTCAGCTGACGAGGGGGCATCTTTCGTATTAGAACCTACATTTTGTTTTTCTTTTCTTTGATTTTATGTGAGAATACCTAACTTTGTTTTCTAAAGGATACCAATTATAAGAGGAAAATATACTGGCAAATGTCCTTTTAATGTCAGAATACAATCACCCCATTACCAAGAAAATGGTAGAATAGGGAAATTTGGTATCAGAAATTTAATCTTAGGTTGAGGATGACATACATCAAGTTATTTCTCTGGGCCTATAGGAAGTCAGTAACAACTATTAAGTCTCAGCCAGATTGTTTACCTTTTGTGTTACTCATTTAAATTTATGTTACACAGTTTTCTGTTTTTGTTGTTGTACAGTATCATATTTGCCAGTTATATTGATTTCCTGGTGTGGTAGTGTAGGGTCTGCAATGAACTGTGAGCTATAAGGTCAGCAGTTCAAACCAACCAGATGCTCCTTGGAAACCTTATACAGGGTCGCTATGAGCTGAAACAGACTCGATAGCACTTAACAACAAAGATATTATGTCTTTTAACATACTAATGCAGACACAGATATTATGGCAACATATACTTTGGCCCTAAGATGCAGGTTCTTGACGCTTTTAGCCATAATTAAATGTCGTAAATCTATCTGAGAGTTTGACTCTTCTCTTAACATGGACATCTCCAAATGTGATTATTTAAACTATATCTAAGTAATAGTAGAAGAATAGCGATCCATTTTCTTAATAAGTAATATACTTTGGTTTCAATATTTTAAAAAAGTAGTCCACTTTCATTCATTGAGCTCGTTGTGTTCATTTGTATAGAGTAGTGTTACATTCTAGCTCTTATAGAGCTAGAATGTGGGCATTTCATAATGTGACTCCTAATCTATAAAATGTAGTAATATTACTTCACTCACAGGGTTATATATATTAAATGGTAAAATTTATGTAAATGTTTTAGAATAGTGCTTGGTAATGATGGTGGTGGTGGTAGTAGTGTGCCATGAAGTCGGTTCTTACTCATAGTGACCCTCAGGGTTTCTGGACTGTGAATTTTTACAGGAGCTGAGAGCCTCAGCTGGTAGTTTCGAACTGCTAACCATGAGATTAGCAGCTGAATTTGTAACCACGCTACCAGAGCTCCTTGCTTGGTACATTTGTTGTTATTAGTTGGTGCCGACTAATAGCCTCCCTAATGTTTATAACAGAATGAAACACTGCCTGGTCCTGGGCCAACCTCACAATTGTTGCCACGCTTGAGCCCATTCATGCTGCCATTTTTCAAATCTATCTTGCTGAGGGTCTTTTTTCTCTTACCCTCCACCATACCAAACATGATATCCTTCTCCAGCGACTGGTCCCTCCTGACAGTATGTCTGAAGTATGAGAGATGAAGTTTGACCATCCTGGCCTGGAGCACTCTGGCTGCACTTCTTTCAACACAGATCTGTTGGTTCTTTTGGCATTGCATGACACTTTCAGTATTCTCCTCCAACACTATAAGTCAAATGCATCAATTTTTCTATGGTCTTCCTTGTTCACTGTCCAGCTTTCACATCCATATAAGGTTATTGAAAATACCATGGCTTGGGTCAGGCATACTTTAGTCCTCAAGCTGACATCTTTGTTCTTCAATGCTTTAAAAAGGTCTGGTGCAACAGATTTGCCTACTGTTTCTATGAGTGTTGATAGTTTATCCAAAAAGAATGAAGTCCTTGATAACTTCAAGCTTTTCTTTGTTGATAAGAATGTTGTTTATTGGTCCAGTGGTGAGGATTTTTGTTTTCTTTACATTAAGATGCAATCTGTACCAAAGGCTGTGCCCTTTGATCTTCATCAGTAAATATTTTAAGTCCTCTTCACTTTCAGCAAGCAAGGTTATGTTGTAAAAGAATCTTCCTCCAGTCCTGATGCCATGTTTTTCTTCATATAACCCAGCTTCTCAGATTATTTGCTCAGCATACAGGTTGAATAAATACGGTGAAAGAATACAACAACCCTGTCCCACACCTTTCTTAATTTTAAACCAGTGTTCCATGTCTGTTCAAACATATATCACAATGTTGTCCATAGTTTGTCATGATCCACACAATCGAAAGCCTTTGCATAGTCAATAAAACATAAGTAAACATCTTTCTCGTATTCTCTGCTTTCAGCAAGATCCATCAGACATCAGCATTGATATCTATTGTTCCACGTACTTTTCTGAATCCAGCATGAACCTCTGAAAGTTCTTTGTCAATGTATGCTTGCAGCCATATCTGTATTACTTTTAGTAAAACTTTACTCGCATAGGATATGAAAGATATTGCCTGATGTTTTATTCATTCCATTGGGTCAACTCTCTTTCGAGTGGACACAAATATGGATCTCTTCCAATCAGTCAGCCAGATAGTTGTCGCCCAAATTCCTTGGCAGAGATGAGTGAGTGTCTCCGGTGCTGCTTCACGCTTGAAAGATTTCAATTTTTATCCATAAATTCCTGGTGCCTTGTTCTTTGTCATTGCCTTCAGTGCACCTTGGACTTCCTCCTTCAGTAGTATTGGCTCTTGATCATATGCTACCTCTTGAAATGGTTGAACATCAACCATTTCCTTTTGGTCCAGTGACTCTGTGTATTCCTGTATTCCATCCATCTTCTTTTGATGCTTTCTGCATCATTCAATAATTTGCCCAGAGAATCCTTATGTAACAAAAAGTGGAGGCTTGAATTTTTGCTTCAGTTCCCCTACCTTTAGAAATGCTGAGTGTGTTCTTCCCTTTTGGTTTTCTGACTCCAGATTTTTGCACATTTTGTTGCAATAGTTCACTTTATCTTCTCGAACTGACCTTTGAAATCTTTTGTTCAGCTCTGTCATTCCACAACTCTTCGGGTGGTTGGTCTTTAGTGTTTAATGTATCAAATCTGTTCTTAAGATGCTCTCTAAATTCAGGTGGGATATATTCAAGGTCTTATTCTGGTTGTCATGGACTTGTTTTCCTTTTCTTCAACTTCAGTCTGAATTTGCAGATGAGTAATTGATGGTCTGTTACACAGTCTGCCCCTGGCCTTGTTTTCACTGATGATATGGAGCTTTTCCATCATCTCTTGTCACAGATGTAGTCAGATTGATTTCTGTGTATTCCATCTGCTGAGGTCCATGTGTGTAATCGTCTCTTAGGCTGTCTAACAGGTATTTGAAATTAACAAATCATTGATTTTGCAGAATTCTATCATGCGTTCTGCATCATTTCTATCACCGAGGCCGTATTTTCCAACTACTGATCCTTCCTCTTTGCTGCCAACCTTTGCATTCCAATCACCAGTAATGATCAAGATATCTTGATTTCATGTCTGATCAATTTCAGATTGGAGAAGTTGGTAGAGTTCTTCTATTTCATCCTCACTGGCTGTAGTAGTTGGTGCGTAAATTTGAATAGTAGTGGTATTAACTGGGCTTCCCTGTAGGCTCATGGATATTTTCCTATCACAGACAGCGTTGTAACTCATGGCTAATCTTGACAAGTTCTTTTTGACGATGATTGCAAAATCATTCTTCTTCAATTTGTCATTCCCTGCATAGTGAACCATGTAGTTGTCACATTCAAAATGACCAGTACCAGTCCATTTCAGCTCACTAATGCCTAAGATATCGATGTTTATGTGTTCCATTTCATTTTTGACAATATCCACTTTGCCTAGATTCTTATTTTGTACTTCCCATGTTCTGATTATTAATGAATATTTACAGCTGTTTCTCCTCATTTTGAGTAGTGCCCCATCAGCAAATGAAGGTCCTGTGGGCTTTACTCCCAAGGGCTTTGCTTCATTCACGTTATCACGGTCAACTCTACTCTGAGGAGGCAGCTCTTCCCCAGTCACATTTTGAGTGTCTTTAAAACCTGAGGGGCTCATTTCCCAGCACTATATCTGACAGTGTTTCATTGCTATTCAACTATTCATAAGGTATTCAGTTACTAAATTTTCGAAAGTAGTCTTTCCTTCTTCCTAGTCTGTGTTTGTCTGGAAGCTCATTTGAAATCTGTCCACCATGGGTGACCCTGCTGGTATCTAAAAATACCAGTTGCATAGCTTTCAGAGTCTCAGAACTCACAAGCCACCACAGTATGACAAACTGACAGAGGAGTGTGGCGTGTTACGAAATAAATACTTTGTAGCTGTTTGGTATTGTCATCAGTATCATAATTCTCTAGTTTAAAAATGAATATCCTTTTTTAGGTTTTATATTTTTCTTCCCCCACCACCAGGGAGCATATACTGTAGGACCTCTACCATTATAAGAATGTTGGCTTTTCTCATACAGTATTTTTGCATGTAATGCACACACAAGCAGCACATATGCACATAGCATACATGGCTCTTACAGGAAAGGAGTGTATGAAGAGAATGTATGCTGTTTTTTTTTTTTTTTTCACCTGCTGAATGTCATTGTCAATGATTGTTAGGCCTCTAGTTATTTGCTTAAGAGCATGATGAGTCATCAGCACTGGACTGCAAACCACAAGATTGGCAGTTCAAACTTTCCAGCTGTTCTTTGGAAACTAACATAGGGTTGCTGTGAGTTGGAACTGACTTGGTGGTACTTCAGAACAACAACAATACAATAAGTAAAACAAAAGGGAAGTCACCAT